ACCCCACCTCACCCCCATCCCACCCCAAGCTTCCATCCACTTCCTTTAGCTAGTGATCCTGGTAATGACTTTTCTCTGACAATTTAATTCAACAAACATTTACTGAAGGCTTACACAGCTAAGTGCCTTAAGTGAGCCAGGCCGCAATATATTTATATAAAAATGATAATAGGTTGGCAGTTTCTGGATCCTAAGCCCACCTAGGAATAAGTCTGGTGGTAGGTTGTATGGGGAGGAGAAACCCAGAACATTCTTTTTTTTTTTTTGAGGAAGATTAGCCCTGAGCTAACATCTATTGCCTATATATAACATCTTCCTATAACAGGAAGACTGGACCTCAGGGGCCGGCTGTTGGCACAGCAGTTAAGTTCGCAGGTTCCGCATCAGCAGCCTGGGGTTCGCTGGTTGGGGTCCCTGGTACAGACCTATGCACACCGCTTGTCAAGCCATGCTATGGTAGGCGTCCTACATATAAAGTAGAGGAAGATGGACACGGATGTGAGCTCAGATCAGTCTTCCTCAGCAAAAAAGAGGAGGATTGGCAGCAGATGTTAGCCCAGGGCTAATCTTCCTTAAAAGAAAACTAAAAAAACAAAAAACACCCCCAAAAGACTGGCCCTGAGCTAACACCTGTGCCCATCCTCCTCTACTTTATATGTGGGATGCCTGCCACAGCATGGCTTGACAAGCGGTGCCATGTCCACACCCAGGATCCCAATCGGCGAACCCTGGGCCACCAAAGTGGAACGTGGGAACTTAATCCCTGCGCCACTGGGCCGGCCCCCAGAACATTCATTTTTTTGATCTTTTCCTTTAGAGGAGGCCCTGGGGAAGTGGATTCTCCTATTGCATTGTCTCTCTAAACTTAGCTCTTAATGTATCGCAAATTCCTTCCCAGGGACCAGACAAGTGTTTACTTCTTCCAAAAAACTCCTCCTTCCTCTCCTCTACTGATATGATACTGTACTTCGCTACAGCGTTATTTGAGTAGACTTACCAAAACAGCTCACAAAGTCGTTTGAGGATAAGCTAGTACACATAGCAACAGGACCAGAGGTCCCAAACTCTGGGTGACGCCAATGACACTCTTTCAGCTGTAAGAGGAGGAGGGACACGCAGAAGAGGGAGAGAAGAATTTCCATTCACTTGACCCCCCCTCATTCATATTCATATTCATTCATATTCATATTCGTTCATATTCATATTCATAGGTTTGCATGAAAACATCAAAAACAGTTCTTATTTAGCCCCCATTTTATTCCATTTTGGAAGTCTCTTTTTTTTTTTTGAGGAAGATTAGCCCTGAGCTAACATCTGCTGCCAATCCTCATCTTTTTGCTGAGGAAGACTGGCCCTGAGCTAACATCTTCCTCTATTTTATGTGGGACGGCTGCCTCAGCATGGCTTGCCAAGCGGTGTGTAGGTCCACACGTGGGATCTGAATTAGCAAACCCCGCACTGCTGAAGCAGAACATGTGAACTTCACTGCTGTGCCACCAGGCCAGCCCCTGGAGGTCTCTTGAAGGCCTCTTCCATTTAGTGTCAATAGAGCAGTATAATAGTCACAAGGGAGGAGTTATTCTGAACTTTTATTGAGAGGCAAATGCAGGGGCCAGCCCCATGGCTGAGTGGCTAACTTCGCGCGCTCCGCTGCGGTGGCCCAGGGTTTCGTCAGTTCGAATCCTGGGCGCGGACATGGCACTACTCATCAGGCCATGCTGAGGCAGCGTCCCACATGCCACAACTAGAAGGACCCACAACTAAGAATATACAACTACGTACCGGGGGGCTTGGGGAGAAAAAAGAGAAAAATAAAATCTTTTTTTAAAAAAAAAGAAAGGCAAATGCGGAAGGCTTCCAGGCAGAGTTTAGATTTAGTGAGAGTGTGCTCACTGGAGTTAAGTCAACAGATATGCTGACTGTGTCATACGGTAGAGAGGTTGAATAAGCCGAGACGAGTCGCAATCTCAAGACAATCTGAAACCCATGAGAAAGAGGACAACTTGCCGAGGTCCAAGGCTCCCGAAAATCAACTCATCAAATGACAACAGGAACTGCGTGGATACTTCTTCTGTAACACGGGACTAGGACACCACCCGCTTACATCAGAGGGGCTCTTGGCAGTGAACCACAGGCAAATACTCAACAGCTGTCAGTGCCTAGAACTTCCCATCCATAAAGCACAGGGAGGGTGGAATGAGAAAGGGTTGGCTGGGGCCGGCCTGGTGGCACAGTGGTTACGTCCACATGTTATGCTTTGGCGACCCGGGGTTCGTCGGTTTGGATCCCCGGTGCAGACATGGCACCACTTGGCACGCATGCTGTGGCAGGCGTCCCACATATAGAGGAAGATGGGAATGGATGTTAGCTCAGGGCCAGGCTTCCTCAGCAAAAAGAGGAGGATTGGCAGCAGTTAGCTCAGGGCTAATCTTCCTCAAAAAAAAAAAAAGAAAGAAAGAAAGAAAGAAAGAAAGGGTTGGCAGTACAAGCAGGCTTTTTAAGAATGCTTATATCTTCTATGTCCTGCCTTCCCGCCCCTGGTGATAGCTTCTCAGGCCAGTGAACTCTCGAGTGTACTGCTTCTGGAAGAGATATTCATAAGTTCCAGTCTCCTTTATAAGATGTTCCATCTTGGGTAAAAGGTTCATGTAGGATACTTGCATTGTGTATCTAACGTGAACACGTATACATATGCCCACAAATATGGTTTATGTCTGTATTGTGCATATGTGTATGAGCATTTATCTGCAGATTGTAAAATCAAGGATGACATTTTTTCCTAATGAGTGGTTGGTGATTGAGCCAAAGGCTATAAAATGGCAGGGCTCTAATCGGCTCTAATTGTTTACAGTGGCAATTCACCTGAAGCCTTTAGAATTACATGATGAATTACCACTTTATATTAGTTATATCTCATAAAGCAACACGAGGCTCTTGGCAGCCTGACTCCAGCCAGAACTGTCATGCCAGCAGTCTTTAAGCTCAGTACAACAGAACGTCACCTTCATGCCATGACCAGAGTTAAAACGCAGGCAAATCACCAGGACCTCATGGGTTTCACACCAAGCAATCAAGCTGTAGGCTTAGAGCTCACAAAACCGATTTTTAAAAATAATGCATAAGCAAGCACTGCAGACACCGTGACAGGTCTGGGGACAGAGTGGTGAGAAAGGAAAGCGGGACCCCTGCCTTCACAAAATTTACAATCAGAAAGGCCTGAGTGATGAGCTTTCTCTGGGATAGCAAGTTACTTTCCAGACTTTGCACAGTCTGGGTGTCAGGGCCAAGCAGTAGCTGGGATTAGCTAAAGGAAGCCTTTGGTGAGATTTTTGGAGGCCCAGCACCAACACTTTGTTTAGGAACTTTTTTTATCCACTGGCATATCTACCCAGCAGCACACATCTGGCTTGTTGAAGGGTCCCAACAGTAGCTGTCCCAGGAACTCCTTAGATCCTCTATCAGCTCCCTGACATCCGTCTATTACCTTGTGCTGTCATTAAGCTCTTATCTAATAACTGGCAGGACTAGATTAAGGGAACTCATGTTTAAAATGGAGAACTCCTTTTGTGAATACCAGCCTGTCTCTTTAAGGCTGAAGGCTTGGCTGTCATTCTGTTTAATCTGTCACGGACAAAGTTATCATGTAACCCTGTTAAATGAGCTATAAAAAACACCTTAGAAATACAAGGGGATCGCACTGTAGGCCGAAGCTAATTCTAGGTAAGAGGTTGGAGAAGGAAACATGCTGGTTGTTCCCACCTAAGTCCTGATATTAATTTAGAATTCCTTCTCATGTAATCGTTGTTGGGGAATTAGTTACAATCAGCAAAAAGTCAAAGTGTCAGGTCATTGCTTCTTCAATCCAGCGCTGGCGCTGTGCAAAATACACCCTACCAAGAACTGTGGGGGCGACCCAGTGAAGGGAGGCCAACTTGGGCTCGGGAGAGGGAAGCAGAACTTCAACTGAAATGAGGATAACCACATAATTGATGGGGAAAACGCTGAGTGACAGAGGGCACACTTAAGATGCATGCTGGAACAGGGGCGAACTGAGACTTCACCCAGCAAACCAACAGGTAAGATCATCCTACACTGAAAATTAGGATTATGGCCAGGAGCCAACCTTCCCAGAAAAACAGATACCTAGTCTTCCGTAAGACTAGAGCAAAATATACATTTGCCCAAAGAAAACTCATCTCTAAGTCTGCTGTAATAGGCCCCAGCTACCCCGAAGCTGGCAGAGGACACTACCTTTGACAAACAGTAATTATTCCTGCCACCGTACCTGGCACCTTAGTGTTGGACGAGTAAGTGCTTTTGCTAGAGGTCTGTGCGCAGTGCCGTGGAACAGAAGGGAGCTCCGAGCCAGCCTGGAGTGGAAGGCAGCTAAGGTACTCATAAGCCGGGATAAGGTGGAAGAACTGGCACGTAAAGGGACCAAGAGCAAGGGACAGGGAGCTTTTGGGAGGAACATCAGTGGTTCACTGGGCTAGCGCAAGGAAAGGCACATCCAAGGCCAGCCCGGAGCACAGCCAGCCTCAGAGGCCTTAACCAGGGTAGCAACGTGGTCAACATTTGCTGTTTAGGTGAATCACTGGCAGCTGGGCAGATGATGATGAAACTGAGACCAGCAAGGATAGTGAGCCCAGTTGATAGCACATGAAATATCCTCGGCTGCTATAAAATTAAGCCAGAGGAGTGTTCAAAACAATGTGAGAGCACAGTAGGTGAAAACCAAGCTCTGGAGCACGGGGAGGGGACGGTGGGTTTGTACTCTACTACCCAACTCTAGGGCTGGGCTATGCCTTAACACAGAGACTCCACTAGATAGGGGGAACAGCTGATCAGCAACATGATTCAAGATTTTTAAAAAATTCCAAGAACAGGTAAACCTGAGCTTACTTTGCCTCTTAAAAAAAACTCCTTTTTTGGTAGGCAAGAACAGGCTGAAATAGCACACAGGGTCTTAAAAGAATCACAAAGAATCAAGTCAGAAGAGATCTTACGAATGTTAGGTTGATTTATAAGAGTTGCTCTGGGCAGTTAACACAGCTTGTTTACAATGAGGAGTTATCTAACTCCGAACATACTGTACATGGCAATCACAAGTCGTCACGGCAAGAGAAAGCCACAGCTGGCCTGCCGCCGCCAGCACAAAAACAGCCACAAACAGTAGGGAAAGCTTAGGGCCGAAGGTGGGGTTTGTTTTTTATTATAAAAGAAAAAATAACTCCTCAGGAATCTTAACAAAGGAAAGGAATATTTCCCACTCAGAATAGACACCAGGATACAAAATTACAAGTGTTTGGCTCAGTCCTGTCCCCGTCGCCTCAGAGAGCAGAGATGGGAAGGAGACAGTTGGGAGCAAACAAGCAATTCTGTAAAACAATGACTTAGAAACCCTACAAATGATTAAAATCTAAACTTGTTTTGCTTTTTTAAAAAAAAATTTTAATATATCAAAAGGCCTGCTTTAGTGACATGCTAGTCCCACCAGAAAATAACCCCCAAACCCCCTTGTCAGTAACATGCTCAAGTTGACCAGCCAACTCATATTTCTAACCCCGTGTGTACAAGTACATGTGCGTCTTTTAAACCAAAGCCCCGGGGCTGGCTGACTGCTGCCACCTGTTAACCGAAGTGCCCACCCGTCCAGAAGGGTGGGCAGGGCAGAGAAACCCCTAAGTGGTAGCAAGGGAATAAGAGCCTCCAAGAACCAACTTTTCAAGCATCACCTCCCTCACCCCACATATGACATCCCCATGCCTAACCAGACTACTCGCCCCAGATTTGGCTCCCGGTGACCAGAATGGTTTTTCTTTCAGGGAAAAAAACACACATTTCTGCACACCTGTATATATAATTTTTTTGTTTTTCCATTTAAATATAAAAATACTACTCTGCTTTGTGTTATAAATGGAGGACCAAGCAATAAGAGCTTTTTCTTCTAAGGTAGGGCTGTCCATCCGTTTAGGCTGAGCTCTCTCGGCCTCAGGTGAGGGCATTCAGCCCCAGGCAAGGGAGGCACCACGCTAGGAGGACAGGGCGTTTTCCTTTGTGATGCCCATCCTTCTTTCTCCCCCAATCCTCACTTTTAACAGAAAAATGGAACTTCCCACTAAGAGGGGAAATCCTAACCTAACCAGAGAGTAAGCCAGGCCTCTCCCCACTCAGCTACCTTGAAGAAAAAGTCCTTCCTCTCCGTCACAAATGCTACGCTCTCTGTCCGGATAGCTACACCTATTGGACAAATACACCTGATTAAATGGAAGCAGTGGTTATGTCTCCCCCCCGCCACCCCACTAACGCACTAGAAAGCCTCAGTGATAGGAAAAAAGGGGGTGAGGGTGTGTGAAGAGATTAAGAACGTGACCCCTTCTATCCTGGCCAAAAAAAGCAAGAGATTAACTGGGCACGAGGAATTAAAAAAAAAAAAAAAGACCTTGATATTCCACCCTTTGAGTTACAGCTATTAGGACAATTGAGAGAGGGGCGACAGTGGGAGCAGGATGTAGAATTAGGAGCGGGGTTTGATGGCTGCAAGTCTAGTCCGCTTAGTTTTTGTATTGGAAGGGCTCATCGCCAGTTTCGTTGAGAAGACACGTGCGGATGAGGGCTTCTGTCACCGAAAAGGGGTCACAGTTGGCAGAGGGGCGACGGTCTTCAAAGTAACCCTTCTTTTCCTGGCCGACAGTCCGGGGAATGCGGATGCTAGCACCACGGTTGGCCACGCCGGCAGAAAAGTCGTTGATGTTGGAGGTTTCGTGGAATCCAGTTAGGCGCCGGGCATTGTCCAAGCCCCCCTTGGGATCGTAGGCTCGGATGTGGTACTGGTGCCGCTTGCTCAGTTTCTCGATGGCCTCCTCGATGTACCTAAAGGAAACAGAAAAGATGAGCATCTGACCTGTCCTCAGGAAATCTGCCCTTCAAGGTCGGAGGAGCAGGTCTGGATCCAAGAATGGAGAGTGACTCATCTATCAGACTGTTTTCCAGTTTCCAATTCACTGAAACACAGCCCAAGTAGAAGAAATATTCCACAAGGGCAGCAACTCTACCTTGTTACCTGTGTGTCCCAGTGCTCAGAAGAGTGCCAGACACACAGCAGATGGTATTTGTCAAACAAAAGACCCTAATTAAAGCCTTTCTCCCACCCATAAGCATTAAGTTCATTCACATGCTTGTATTGTCCTAATTTAGTTCTTACTAGATTTTCAAATGCATTAATCTATGTCATCTTCTCCCATCACCATCCTTGAATTCTATTCCTAGAGAATTTTTTAGTGCTTTTCAAATAGGAACAAAAGGATAGGAATAGAAGAGAATTTTTGAAGCCAAGCGCCAAGAGCTAAGGTACTGGCTAAGAAGTCTGGTTTACTCCTCCCCAGAACATCAAATCCTTGGCAGGTATTCTTGAAAAGAGAGAAAGATGGCCCCAGCAGGAGAAGGCACTCACTTCAGACCACACTCCTCTCGCATGGCCTTGGTGCTGAAGTTGGTGTGGCAGCCTGCACCATTCCAGTTCCCAGGAATGGGCTTAGGATCGAAGGTTACTATCACTCCAAAGTCTTCACACACACGATGCAAGATGAAACGGGCCACCCAGAGATGATCTCCCATGTCGATTCCTTCACAGGGTCCTATCTGGAATTCCCACTAGAGACAACAAGAAGGGAGGCCTTTGAAATAAAGCAAACTGCTCACCTCAACTCAGAAGCTCTGAAATCTGCTCTCTTCTCACCTCTGCTCCAACCCGCCCTTTAGGCTTTGGATTGAGCAGTGGTGCATCAGCGGCCCTTGCTAGCACAAGTCCCGACTTGCCTATAGGTGCAGAAAGTGATGGACTAAAGACATTTACCTGGGCAGGCATGACCTCAGCATTTGTCCCTGCTATCTTGACGCCGGCGTACAAGCAGGCCCGGTAGTGAGCCTCCACAATATCCCTGCCGTAAGCTTTGTCTGCTCCCACACCACAGTAGTATGGACCTGCAGAGGCATCAAGACAAAGTGTCAAGAGACAGGACACACCCAGAAAAATCCCTCTCCATGTAAGATGCACCAGAAAGTCAGAAACCAGAAAGCTCTTGACACTTGCTTCCGGAATCACTTTCCCTGCCTTCACCTGGGGGGGCGGGGGTGTGTGTATGTGTATGCAGGGGGCTCTTCTTGGCCATATCCTCGGTGGAGCCAAAGGTTTTCCCTCAACGTTAATGTTGAAACATCTATGTCTGGATTTAGGTAACATGAGGGCTCTTTACAGTATTGTTTCAGCCAATCTCAGGGATATTCCCAGAGCTTTTTGATTCACAAGGAGTCACGCCCATCTCTGGGGAGACTGTCCTCGCTAATAAAGCAACTGGGGAGGAAGAGGTTCACCTCTCACCAAGGGGACTTACCTTGGGGCCCAGGGAAGCCGTTGGAAGGCCAACCAAAAGGGTGCCCATCTGTGCCCATGAGCGTATATTCCTGCTCCATTCCAAACCAGGGGTGCTGGTTGCTCACCATGTCCATTATCCGTTTACAGGTATGCCTTAAGTTGGTCTCTACAAAAAGAGAATCAGCACGCCATTAGGGACGTACGAACAAATATAGTGAAGCCCAGTGGTGACGGGAAAAAGATCTTTGGATTCCACGCAGCTAAAGTGTTGATGATGAGATGAACGGACCCAGTATAAACCTTTCTGTGTCCCATCAAGATGAGAAAAGCTGCAATTATACATCTGTAGGGAGGCTCCCCAAAGCCTTACAACTAAACTCAGTTACAACCAAGTCACGTGACAGTGGTTCCAGAACAGAATAAGTTTTCACCATATCTGCACGCTGGCCACCTCCCAAGTACCAAATGTCAGGCACTTAAACCCTCTAATCACTACATAGCTGCTTCTAGGTGTCAGACTTATTCCTGGTTTCTCAGACATTCAGAGCCAAATCTACAATTTTTATTGAGAGGATCATTTGTCTATTCGGAGCCTTACATTCCAGGTGAGAAGATTAAGTGCCAAGTTATGTAGTGCAAAAGGAAAACAACGTGAAAACGAGAGGAGCTCAACTGGAAACAATTTCCAAGCTAGAAGGGAACCTTAAAACAAGTAAACAGACGTATTACTGACTGCTTAACTCTGTCATACGAACCATTTTCAGACCTATGGATTTAAGGAAACCCACAACTGAGTCTTCACAACTCAGTTGTGAGGTGGGTCTTCTAAGCCTCCTTTTTTACAGATGAGAAATGAGGCTCAGAGATGTCAGGTGGTCTGCCTCGGTTACAGGGCCAGCAGCAGAGCCAGGAAACCCATGGTGTCTTGGCTTCAGAGTTCCTGCCCCCGACATAGTAGGATAGCGCCTCTCAAAACAAAGGCAAGTCAAGTCTAGAGTTACTCAGTGACTTGCCAAAAGCCTCACTGGCAGAGTGCAGCACGAGACTCCAGAGAAATGAGACTTCATCTGAGTTTAAGACGATGAAGGGCTGAGAAATGGGAGCAACGGGCATGCCAGACAAAACCCAAAGGTACAGCTACAACAACCTCAAGGTGAATGTTATGTTCTCAATGAACCCAGATGCTCACGTTTCAGTCAGTAGACGGATGGAGAAAGAAAACATGTGGTCTGGAGTGAATAGCAACCAGTATTTGATGTACAACTGTTCTCAATTATTTGCACATTTAACTCATTTAATCCTCAAAACAACTTTACGAGATGGATTTTTATTATTTTCCCCATTTTAAGTTCAAGGAAATGAAAGTATAGGGGATAAATAACTTGCCCAAGTTTACAGCCAGTAAGGGGCAGATGCAGAATCAAATCCAACATTCGAACTTCAGAATCCACGTTCTTAATACACAGGCAGGGAGGAGGGCTGTCTCACGGGGGACTCCACTGGCTAACAAATTTAGGAGAATCCAGTGTCATTTTACGAAACCAATAGGGGAGACCAAGGGAAGATGGGCCACACCACCTGTGAATGAGGAAGTCCAGGGTGGAGAGATGCACGTCCAATCCCCAAGGCTCCTGAAACAGTTCTGAGACAGTCCTGTCTTCCCAATACGGATTTGGGAACATCCTCTCCCTCTCCTGAATGGCGTTCACGGACTGCGGTGGGGCACCCACACCTATCCCATACACACCTGCAGGCTTTCGGTTGTACTTGAAGACTTCACAGAACACCAGCTTGTTGGGGTCCTTGCGGAAAGGGTCCCGAAACATGGCAGCAGGGACGAGATACATGTCACTGTTGGAGCCTTCAGACTGAAAAGTACTAGAACCATCAAAATTCCACTCGGGCAACTCTGGGGAAAAAAAGAAAGGGGAAAATTAAGTTACAAATGCACAGAAGCTTTCTAGCAAAGATACAGCTCCTCACTCATCTTTCCACCTCTGAAGACCTACACTCTCCTCCAAAGTCAGTGACGTATGACTGCCACTATTAATACGCAAACCCTGACGTCTGTACACGGCCTTACAGTCTTTCCTATCTGAGTGCAAGACCATTGCGTTACTTCCTTAAAAGAACTAACAATCACAAGAACAATCTAAGAATGACCTTTCCTCCCTAAATAAGTCTACCGGACACCAAGGAGACAAACTGAAGTAACCTGACATCACCAGTAAGTCAGTCAGCATTTAAAACATTGAAATAGGAGAAACAAAGATTCCAATTCCCCATTAGGCCAGCTGCGTACCTTCTTTCTCTAATTCATCCCCTACACTGCGTCTGCGGACTGCCCTAGCTCAAGTCATATCCTTACTTTGTAGATGAGCAAACAGACGACTAGCAGGATGTAACTTATTGAAGGATGCTTCTATATCACTTACCCACTTTTCCTACTATGTTTTATAGATTGGTTTCTTCATCTCTCCAGTTAAGTATGAGTTTGCCGAAGGAGAGACCAAACTCTTACCTCGTACCCCCAGTGCCTGTCTAATGCTCACCACGGAGCGGGTTTACAAATATGCTCTATGTCTAGTCAATCGTTCATTCACTCAAACGTGCACATTATCAGAAGAGTAAGCCATCCTTAAAGTAAAGTAAGGGGTGATAGTTTTTCTCCACTGGCCCCTTTGCAGGACAAAGGCTATGGCCTTGTTCTAGATCGAAAAACGAACTCTTCCATAACAGCTCCAAGTGGGATAAGCAATCAGATGGCTTAAGAATTTCCAAAAGTGGCATCAACTAAAAACAAAGGAGTGGCTGGTCCTATTAAGAAACCACTTTAGGGCGTTTGCTTTGCATTTAGAACCCCAGCAATATGACTGAAACAGTCTAAGGAGTTTGTAAAGTAGATGGCACAGGCAGGTCAGACAGAGCAGTGGTTCTCCAAGTGGGTTCTCAGGGTGCCTCAGCGCCAACTAAGTAGGGATGCGCAAGTCAGCAGTCTCTAGTCCCCCCAGCCCCCCAAAACAGACTTTTACCCTTTCTTCTTCAATATACTAGCTTACACGCAAGATCCCACTTAAATAAAGGAGTCCATCGTTGCTATGCTTTGAGGCAGTGTAGGAGCTTCACGTTGACTGAGTAAGTCTGAAAAAGCCCGGCCTTAGAAAAGCCTTACAAACAGAATAATCAAGAGGCTAAATCTGGCGACTTGACCTCAGGCTGCAGCCCACCTCCCGGCTGCTCCCACTCCACCCAGCCTCTCACCTTCTACACACTTGGGCTCACTGTCCAGGGTCCGGGTCTTGCAGCGCAGTCCTTCTCCAGTGCCGTCAATCCAGATATACATAGCCTGGACTTTCTCACCCTGAGGCAGGGACATGTACACCTGCTTGATGCCTTTGTTCAAGTGGGAACTCGCCGAAGTGGCCATGGTGGAAGATGTTCTGGAGAGAAAAAAAAACAGAAGAACGCTGACTTCAAACTGATCCTCTCCATGAGGACAATTAGATCAAGAAGTCACAGTGGGAGTGGTGGCTCCTCCCTTTGGAAGTCCCACACTCAAAGGGGAATTGTTTTATCTTTTATACTAAGATGCTGGGGGGAAATACCTCAAAAAACAAAAGAAAATACAAAAGTTCAGACACAGAGTTCACAGAAGAGATAGCGTCTCCCAATAGAAGTAAAATCCAGCCACAGAAAGGCTTGGCTGCTCCGTTCTGTTCCTGGGTGAGTCCTTCCCTTTTCCTCGTAGCCTAAGGGGTGTCTTATCCCAAGAGGTAAAAATAGCTGATTCAAGCTAGGTTCCAAGATGCACACTGCGATAATTTCCATCAGTCTGAGGCAAAGTTCTCCCTTCAGAAGGTATTTTAAGTTTGAGAATGACATTCCGAGATTTCGCTAGAGCACTTATCAAAGTAATTTCAGAAATCCCCACTTCTAAATCAAAAAGATCTGGCGTTTCAAAAGCTGAGGCATGCTAAAAACTACAAGCCACCACCACAAAACCTCTGAAACTCTGAAGCCACAAAACCAGCCTCAACACGAGCTTCTCCCTCCCTCCCCCTCAGTGGCCCACGGAGAAAGGAAAGGGAACACATTGTTCTCCTCCAGTGACTTGGGCAACTTTCTGAAGTACAGTGGCAAAGTTTCTATGGGCAACCGGCCATGTTTGCCCAGCTGAAAACAACTGCTTCTCCCTCCAACAGCCTCACCCTTCCCCCGGGGGAACGAGAACCTCGTCTGTCAAGTCGTGTTAGAGGAGAACCAATTCCTTTGCCTACTGAGTCTAGAAGATTCGGCTGGTCAAATCCCACCCGCGCCCCTACCCCTACCTTTACCAGCACAATCCGGATCCTTCAGCTCCCACTCAAAGCTACAACCCAGTGTCCATTCCTCCCCATCTGTTACAGCTCTAACGTCAAGCCACACTTCCTCCCTTAGCCTGGGATCCCATCTCCTGCTCTTCTCCAAGGATGACAACAGCCTAGTCGACTGTATCAACTGGTGCCGCCGCGGTGTCAAGTTTACCCGCTGGGGAGAAAAACGGGATTCTGCAGTTCTCAGCTGTCTTTGTCGTGCTCCCTGCCTCCTCACTCACCCCAGCCACAGAAGATCAACCGGATCGCTGGGGTTGCCCTCTTTAGCCCGTCTCCTTTTGGATCTGTGTGCGCGCCTCTCCTCCCGCTCCGGCTCTCGGTGGTCCACGCACCGGAGCTTTCCGGGCGAGGGAGACGGAGAGGGCGACGGGGACGGAGAGGGAGTCAGAGAGCGATCGGGATCCCACCGGGACGTGCAGGAAGACGCAGGCTGGGACGTCTCGGTCTTAGGCTTGCCCCGCGATTTCTCGCCGGAGTTCACTGAGTAGGCGACGAAGCCGAAGCAGTTGGAGGGGGACCGGGGATACCGGGACTCCAGGTGGTCTTCATCTTCCCTCGCGGTCTTTTTCGCAGACTGGCGGCCGGGGGAGAATCCCCTCTTCCCGCCCCCCGGGCAACTGGAATAATCCACTTTGAAAGCAGCCTTTTCCTACTGAACTGTCTCGAAAGTCTGCGCCCCGCCCCTCGGGCCCCCGTTGGGATCTCAGGGCCTCGCCCAAGGGGCCATCCCCTCCGAGGGCCGAGGCTGGGGGCTGGGGGGGGCAGGGGGACAGGGGGGCGTGGGTGGCAGGAGGTTGAGCGCGCCGCGGCTGCCCCTGCCCGGCCAGGCCTCCCCCGGGTGCGCCGCGGCCCGGGCTCCGCATTGTTCAGTCACAGTGCAGGGCCCCGGGACCCGCGCACCGGCCGGCCGGCCGTCCTAACCACGCTCGCCTCAACGGGCGTCTGAAAGGTGCTCCAGACCACGGCGATCCCTAAGGCCAGGCTCCCGCAGGAGGCCACCTGGCCACTCCAATCAGAGCGCATACGACACGGCCGAGCCGGGGGCGCAGCGCCCGGGCAGCGGCTCCCCAACTCGCCACGCCAAGCAACCTCCGGGGAGGGCGCTTTGGGCCGCAAGCAGTGAAAGAAGATCAAAACAACTCCCCGCCCTCCTCGACGCCTGGCGACGGGCGCACCCACAGTCGGCGACCCCGAGCCGCCAGCAGTTCTAGGCGGCGGAAGGAAGCACGCGGGAGGGCGCGCAAGCCGAGGCGCAGAGGAGGGGCCGGAGGTGGGAAGGGGCCGAGCCCAGCCGAGGGCAAAAGCGCGGGCGCCGCGGGCACTTCGGCGGCGAGGGCGGCGCGCATCCCTCCACGGCCCCCGGGCGGCCGGGCGCTTACCTGAGCGGCGAGCGGGCAGCAGGGCGGGCAGGCTGCGAGAGCGAGGTGCGGAGTGGAGAGGAGAGGAGGCCGCGGGCGCTGCTTAATGGTTCCCCTCTTCTCCCATTCTCGGCTCTGCAGGGCCACCCGCAGCCCCGCACCCTTTATCGGCGGCCAGGGCCGCCCCCGGCGCCCTGATTGGCTCCCAGCAGCCGGGAGCGGGCGGATCAGCTGATGCGCGCCCGGGCACCGCGGCCATTGGGCGAGCAGCCGTGCCGGCGCCGCCGGGTGGGGGCGAGCGGGCCGGGAGAGAAAGAAAGAAAGGGAAAGGGAAAGGGCCGGGGGGAGGGGAGGAAGGGCCGGCTGGCTGCGAGCGGAGGGCCGAGTTCCTGCCGGGAAGGACCCCGCCTGCCCGGGGCCCTCCCCGCAGCCCCCGTCCCCGGGTCTGGAGGCGCCCAGCACACCGCCCCCGGCCCCCGCCCCTGCTGCCCTCAGGTTGGTCAGTTTTGCAGGCGATCCTCTCTTTTACGAAGTCATGCTGCAGACCCCAGAGCTCCCTGAGACAAATCTGACCCACGGGAACAGAATTTGGCCTTTTGTTGTTAGAGAACCTCCGGCCCCTCTTCCCGGCGCTCGTGTCCAGTTTGAGAGGGAGCGCGGGGCGCGGGCCCCTGGGAAGCCCTGGGCAGCCTGGGCAATGGCGCGGGCCTGCGGACAGGGCGGCGCAGAGAGGGGACCGCCGAGGGTCGGCCTGGAAGAGCCCCCTCCTGGCTCTCAGTGGGTTGGGGGAAGCGAAGGGAAGTCTGCGATCTCATGTTTGTGATCAACATGCTGTGTTTATACTGCTTTTCAAGTAATTTATTGCGCCTTTTTAGTCTGAAAAATGAGAATTAGTACCCCTTCTTCCTTTCAGCCTTGCTGTGATGGTTGAGGAAATGTGTATGTGAACACAGTCGTGAAATGGTTGCTTGTCAACATGATCAATAATTGTATGTGCATTAATTAATTTATATACACACATATATTTTCATCGCTACTAGTGCTATTAGTTGATCATTCTATTTTTATTACCTGAAATCCACCTGATGGTGTCTAGCTTTTATTGCATCTTTCAGGAGCCCCAGTCTTTGAGATTTTTTTGTTTGAAGACCAAGAAGTCATGCTTCCAGTGCTTTTGCAGGAGGAAGGAAAGAAGTTTGTTCTTCTGGTTGTTTTTTGTACCACAAGTATGGAAAAGAAACGTTGCCTGTGACCACACACACATAACTTGGCTTCTTCGGTCAACATCCCTTGCCTTTAAGAGTGTGTCTAACACTGTAGTGCTTTAAAGTAACAGATGCAGCATTCATCTCAAACACAGGGACTTTGGGTGTGTTTCAGACCGATGACAATCCGGACTGGGTAAGGTGCCTTGCAGGTGTAAGAGATTCCATGTTAAGTTTCCCTGCTGCGTGTTGAAGCGTTATGATGTCGTGGGTGAAGGCTGGGCTTCAACTGAGACAAACTAGGTTCAGATTTGGGCTTCACCTCTTACTAGCTTTGTGCTGGCTTAGTGACTTAGCCACATGAAGCCTCAGTTTCCTGCTTCCAAAATAGCTACCTTGTATCTTGTAGGGATGAATTGGGATAGCATATGCAAAAGAGATCAGGATAGTCTCTAGAACATAGTGAATATTTAGAAAACAGTAATATAATTATTATAGGCCAAGATAAACTGGAGAGATTGGATTATATCTTTCTCCATAACAACCCATTCAGTACAACTTTCTAACAGTGTGATGTTCCACTGTTAGTTTTATGAGAGTGGGCTTGGACCTGGTAATAGAGTGAGCGGTCCTCATTCCATTTTCTTCTATCAAGTCTTAAAGAGGTTGAGGAGAGAGAGTGGAGGAGGGGACTGGTGATGTTCTGGTTTTTAAAAAGATGGTAATTTCCAGATGCCAAACTGCCTGAGCATAAACCAGAGCCTTCTACTGCACTCAGCACCATTAAGTTCCCCGAGCAGGTTGTGTATCTCCCGGGAGTGTCCAGGGTGAGTGTTCAATAAGTGATGTTTGTTGACCACACAGAAATGACAGCGGCATCATCAAGAGAACATGTGCTTTGAGTTGCCTTTCCAAGAATGAGAATGGATTTGCTTTGATCCATTCATGTGACCAGGGGCACACTCTGTGAGGGTTAGGAAAGTAATACATGACCACTGAGTCTTTCAGGAGGGAACAAGAGGCCTCGTCCTCCTCAGGCAGCCCCCTACTTACTTAAACCAACCGAATTAGGGCCCAAAGGAGTCCAGGGACTGATGAGGAAAGCTTAAAGGAGTATGAGGGAAGGAAAAGCAGAAGAAAGTCCTTTAGCTAACTATTTCGCCCCCAGAAACCCAGGCTGTACTTTTAGAGAAGTTAAAAGTAGAACAGCCTGTGTCACCCAGTTTGACTTTGCTGTGTCTGCTGCCCTTTGTTCTCCTCCTTCTTCCCCAAATTGCCATCCACCCCCATCCTCCACCCCCTCCATAAAAAGAGCATTAGAATACTTGAACCCATGAACCCTTTTGTCTCTTAGTACACCCTGTGTCAAAGCTGACAGGGGGCTCCATTACACGTGCTTTGAAGTCAGGTCTTTCTAGTTAGAGTAGCTTTGTCCAAGGGGTGGATAGAGTCGGGGAGCAATATTATAGGTAAAGATTTTGTTCCAAACCTCCAGAAATGCCCAGAGACTAAAAGCGTTTCGTGAATGTTGTTCCGTTTCCTGAAGTAAAGGCCTTGTCTTGGGTGGGCTTTACCTGCGAGTTCTCTCAATTTCTTTCTTTCTATTTTAAAGGACTCATTCTCCCTCTGCAGGTCATAAGCCCTTATCTAAAATGACAGATGCGACATTCATCTCAGACAGGGACTTTCGGTATGTCTTTCCCAGGGTCTGTGTGGGTGCCTTGCACTCATTAGAGACAAGATTTGGGGGAGGGCTCAAACACACCCAAACCTTCAACCATAACATGCAGTGTGGGAAATGGAGTTTTCCCTATATTTGAATGATTTCAACAGGCATTCAACTAAACCCTTAACCTGGGCTAAAGAGACCCAGCTGAGACCCAGGCTTGAGGAACACCCTGGAAACCCAACCCAGAATTGTCAACTATTCTTTTTTTTTTTTTTTTTAAATAAACCAACACTGGTTCTTTCCGAAAGAATAGACCATAGTATAATCTTAAAACAAAACAAAAATAAAACAAAAAGAAGAAAAGAAACAGCCTTGGAAGTTAATGTCATTACTCTTAAGCCAAATTTTGAGGCGAAGCTGCAGTTAGCCAAGCTTTCAAATTTCCCTCTGCACAATTAAAGAAAGACTAGGTTTTACCTCAATTCATTATCCAACACTGAACACACAGGAATGGTTCTTTACATCCTTTCTGATTGTTTGATATTCTTAAACTCAGGTTAGGAAATTAGAAGTTCAAATCTCAGCTGTGTTTCTTTAGCCTGATTTGAGTTTTGTTGAAGACCTCTTGAAATCATTCGAATATGGGGAACACACCATTTCCTGAACTGCACGTTATGACTGAAGGTTCGGGTCTGTTTGAGCCCTACCCCAAAACTTGTGTCTAATAGGAAACTGCTTAGAGTAATTAAGTTCATCTTAGCTGACAACATGGGAAAATAAGTCTTCCTGAGGAAATTAAAGCTGTGCAATTCTAGAATTAATCTTCACACCATTCTGTCTTATTTAATTTTTTATTGAGGCCACATGGGTTTATAACGTTATATAAATTTCAGGTGTACAGCATTATGTTTTGACTTTTGTATAGGCTACGTCATGTTCTCCACCCAGTCTAGTTATCCTCCAGCACATACACGTTGCCCTTTGACCCCTTTCGTCCTCCCCTCTCCCCCTCTGGTAACCACTAATCTATTCTCTGCATCTATGTTTTATCTTCCACATATGGGTGAAATCATACGGTATTTGGCTTCTCTGTCTGACATTTCTTATTCTATCGTAGAGGTGAGGAAGCTGAGGCCTCAGTGACTTGGAGGAGCTAGCTGAAGTCACCTTTGTGCAGCATTTCACAGCCTAATGTGCTTCCAGGGTGTAACTCCCTTGAGAGCCTTTTTCTGCTTCCCTTCCTTCCCATCTCCTCAGGCTGTGGACGAGGCATTCTGAGCCACCACCTCGAAAGCACTGAGATCCCTACTCTACCCCTGAGGAAAGTACCCGGTGCAGGGACTAACCGGTTTACCTCTCAATCCGACATTGTGTCTCACCCAGTGCCTTACATACAGTGGATGTTCAGTTTATTCTTTGTGAATAACTAGATTACCAGAAAAAGAAACGCTTTATGGCAGCTTCTCTGTAAAGGATTCTTTGGAGATCATTTTGCCTATTTAATAATCTGTCCCTAGTTTCGTTGTGCTGTGAATCTGGGATTTTTTTTTATAGATAAATTCTGTTCCTTATTTTCAGTGTATGTATGAATCCTTGTTCTCTAGATTGATTGGAACATTATTGAAGCTTATTAAAAAGTTTAGGAAATTTAGCATTGTAGTCAAAAAAGATCACAGTGTGTCCTTTAGCGCTTTTCCCGAAGATATCCTCAACTGGATCCACAGCCCTTCCTCCCTCACCCCCCATCCCATTAGTTGATTTGAATCCCTGTTTACTTCACATTCACATGCCAGATTTTAGCAGGAAACAAACAGTCCACAGATATGTTTTCTGGATGCTTGGGCAATACTTAGGCTGGTTCTGTACTTTTCCTGACCTCCTTTCCCCTCCTCCCAGTTCTTTTAAACCCTTTCTTGAGAGACTTGTTTACAGGGTTGGAGAGCTAAAGGCTTGGCTGGGGTGGCGTGAACGTAGTGCCCTCTGGTGGAGTTTTGTGAGAAACTCTTCCCCACGAGCTGAAGAGGGGAAGATTTTTTTCTCAACTGGCCTTCGAAGGCGGGGGGGGGGGGGGGGGGGCCTCTCCGTTACATCTGAAATATAGTAAATTAAGAATTCGTAAGCTTATTACCTACACCAGATATTTAAGACATGTTATGTTGGGGTAATCCATTGATTACCAGAGGTTTGGCTATCAATATAAAGTTAGCCCTCAAATGACTAGAAGTGGGCAGCTTGCTTTTTCATCATCTCCCGTCAATGCGTGCGAGAAGTGAATAGAACAGGAGGCCCCTCGAGAAAGGTCACTGAAAAGCCCCTAGGAACCAAGAGTTAAGGGGAAATGGCAAGGATCAGAAATCTTGGTCACAAACAAGTCTTTCCGCAGCTCCCACTCGGATCCCAGCCCAGAAATTTAAGACCTAGCCAGAAGTTGAGAGCCCGCCAGACTCTCACTTCCAGAAAGACTAGAGGGTGGGGGCTGGGGATGGACAGAAAGTGGGACATAGACTCACCCTTTGGGGGGGTCTAAACTATTTACACTGAGCGGCAGCTGTAGCTGGGCCTTCTGGCTGAACTTTTTTTCTTTCTTTTTTTTTAACAATTCCATTTTGAGGATCACTGCCTGCTCCATTGCCTTTAGCAAAGTCACTGTGTCCCGGAGGACACAGTCACTGGCTTGAGTCAGACACACCTGCACTTGAATTCCTGTCTTGCCTCATACCAGCTGTAAGACTTGGGCAAGTGAGCCTGCTGAGTCTCAGTTTTCTGGAGGTTCCTTATAGGAATGCTTGTGAGAATTAAAAACAATAACAGAGTAAAGTGGATTTTGTTATCCCAAGAACAAGGAAGCAAGTGGGCTCATTACTAAGGAGATGACTCAGGCTTCAGGGCTGTTGGTGTTTTCCAGAGGCTCACAGAACCTCGGACCCATGTGGCAACACGTTTAGAAGGAACAGGTGTTGGCGGAGATGCTGGAAGCAAATAAGCCTTCATTAAGCATCACCTATGCTACATATTTGGCACACACATAGGAAATGATGTAACTTGGATATGGCAAAGTCCTTACCCTTTAGGAGTCTACACTTTAGGTGGTGAGGAAAAACCTCCCCAAGGGAAATGATTTCAGAAACACAACAAAGCAGAGTCTATCAGCTGTATGAGCAAATTATCAAAGCGGGTTTAGTATAAGTGCCTAAGAGTTCCCCAACACGGGAGTCAGCGAGAGCTCTTGGAGAAGGCCCCCTTGGGGGTGCTCATTGGGGTGCAGGCGAAGGTGGGTTTTATGCTGGGTACCAAATAACATGGTAAAAATGTGATTGTGGAATGGCTTTCTGTGAGATGCAAGGGAGTGAAATTTGCAAAGATCCAAGGATAAGATCTAGTAAATTACGTGTGCAGAGACTGCGAGGGCGGAATAGGTAAGCTTTGTGAGGAATAGGAATAATAAAATATGATGTGGGGGAAGTACTGAGGCATTTGAAGTCTATAAAAATTTGGATTCTACAAATTTGAAATGTTACTATATTAAAGCATTGGTAAAGTCTCACTTTATTGATCTGAATTTGAAAAGAAGCCAATCCTTAAAAAGAGGGGCGGGGGAGAGTGGGGATCAAAAACAACGTAATTTCAATGAATATAAATTAATTATAAATTCTGATTACGCTACTCCCACATGGTGGCGCCACATTGGCAAGCAAACAGATGTACCCACTTTTCTTTATCAGGATGACATTTGAATGATTCCTGTTTTGAATTGCGAGAAATCATTATTCCCTCAGGTACAGGGCGGTTGCTTGTGCCCAGAGAAGAGGCTGCTGGCGTCATGACTGCTGGATTCTGTTCTCTTTCCTTCTATTGCCTTCTCTCCCCACAGGGCTTTTCTTGCACACTTAACTATTCCCCTGGTCCCCCACCACCGCCCACCCACCAACCCCATCAGTGTCCCTTTCTCAGGCTTCTCTCTCTTCATCTCCTCAGGGATTAGCGGTTCCAGGGACAGGAGATGTACCAGCAGATGGAGACCACCTGCTCTCCTTCATGTGGCCATTACCTTCCGTGGGGACCAGAGAGGGTACAATGGCAATGTCTGAGAGAACACACAAGGAGGAAGATGGAGTGGACCATGTGCCAGGCATCTAGGTTCTGTCTCAGGGCGAACTCTTTGAAAGGAGAAGAGCCTGTTCTTCTTTCTCTGCCTGCTCCCCTTCCTGCAGCAAGTTGTAGAGGGATCCTACAGTGCTCGTGGCATATGGAGCTTCTTTAGTCTCCATGAGCTTCAAGCTGGGACTGTGACAACGATGCCAAAAGAAAGAGACACCATAGATTCCCAACAGGCACAAAGCATTGATCATCAAATGCCAGCAGAAGAAAGTGGTGATAAACATGATGTCGCTGATGTCATCGTCCTGCCATGGGTAGCCCGTGACGGGTCTGTACAGAATGAAGGCTGCCTGTATCAGCCAGGAGCCCATCAGGAGAAACAGAAAAGTCTCGATCAGCGAGAGGTAAAACATTTCAGGAGCCCAGAGCTCTACAGTCAACACCAGCATCAGCAGAAAGACCACCAAGATGAGCAGAGAATGAGTCTGCAGCTCCACCCCTGATGAGTCCTGAACATGTGACACCAGCAGCAGCAGGAGCACATAGAAGGTCAGGACCAGGGTACCTTTTTCTAGGAGTACACATCTCTGAGGCAGCAAGTTCTTACTCGTGACATCTGCACAGCCATTGAGGCTGAGGAGGACGAACATGGTGAGGTGCTGCCACTCTTTGGGGAACATAAATCTCGGTGGCAGCTCCCTGTTCATCAGCTTCAACCCTCCTGTGACACAGCTGATCTCATAAGCTATCAAGAGGGAGCCAGTCACCATCTTCAACAAACCTCTATAGGATAGTTTCCACAGCCTGGCCCATCTTCCCTTATTCCTGAGAGGGCATGAAGAATACAGGAGAGAGTCATTGAATATCGCAGCTTTGGAGACCACTATTGCCTGATACAGTCCATAGAAGACTAGAAACAGCCCTGGGTACATATGACCGATAAAGTGTCCCATTGAACTGCAGAACTCCCTAACGTAGGAGAGAAGACAAAGCTCGGACACGTCCACACCTTCTGGAGCCACTTCAGGTTCTAGGCTCTGGAAAGAATTGCCTTCCACCAACTTTTATCATCTTACCCCACCCACTGCTCCCCCACAGACAGGAAATGTCTCTTGAAACAAGCCTACGCCTTTGATGGCCTAAAGCCTCACTGTTCCATTCCATTCTGGTACATTGGAAACTAACTGGCTTCTGCCAAAGAAGAAAACTGGTGCATGTGCTTGCAGAGGCTCCCCTCTATGGCCCTTGAGGTGCTCTGATCACACTTGTCCCTTTCTCCCGTGGCTTCCTTCCCCTTGTGCTGCCCAGCACCCAGAGGAGGGGGTGGCGGAGCATGAGATGGGGGTAGGGGTTGCCATGGTGTCCAGAGGAAGCCAGGACACTTACAAACCCTTGAGTATCCTTCAGTACTTCTCAGACATAACTTTGGTTCACTTGTAAGTTTTTCTTTTTGGACACATATATTTATAAACATTTGGCTATGTGACCATGTAATTCATACTTCCTGCCTATCTGACGTCTGTTCTTCTCTTACAGACACATTCTGAAGATAACCAAGAAAGCTCCCTTCACCTCTTCCTTTTACCTCTTCACATCCCCACTCCCTTCCCTCCACTTCAGCATCTCTACTGGCCAGTAAATGGATGTGAAATTTACCCTTTGATATTGATTTTAGGGACTGTGGTGGTTTCATAGTATGTCAACCTAACTAAGCTTGAGCACGTTTCCCAGAATTTGCTTCCCTGTGTGGCTCCAGGTTGGGTTGGCTACCAGAGAAATTTACTTGAGCATCTGAAGGTGGAAGTCAAGCAGCAAGCTAAGCATTCTCTGAGGATGTAGGGTGCCAGGTGCCACTGTAGCTGTCGCATCCCGTCACTGAGCTGCTGGCTCACTTCCTTGGTGAGGCCTACAGCTCCCTCAGCTTCTCTTAGTGTGAAGGGTACCAGTTGCTTCTGCAGGTCACCTGCCACTGAAGTATGAGGTGGTGAGAGGCAGACACGGGCTCCAGTTGGTCCTCATGGCTTTCAGTATGTCCTTGCTCTTCCCTCACTTCCTGCCTGCTGATCTGAGGCCCCTTCTACAGCAGAGAGGAACCAGCCTTCCACAGACTTCTTCACTACAAATGTGTAAGTTCTGATAGCCATAAGAAATCCATATTCCGTATCACTCTGCTCCCATGATCCATCTCTCAGCAATGCAAGGGATTAAGGTGTAATCCTTCACATTCAGATACTGTTGAGAGGAGTGTCTCCAGTGAACTGGTGTTGGCCATGAGAATTAGCCCATCAGATTCATCTATCTATCACTTAACTACCGTCTAATGTGCCCTCAGAAGACAGTGTCCTGGGTATTGGGTAGCAGCCAGCAGAGTACAAGGCAGAGAGGATGGTGGAGAACAAGGTACAGGGAGTGGGAGGCATGCCCGGGGCCCACAAATGCTTCTGGGTTTATTGCAGGAGCTACATGGACTGGGAGTTTCTCTGTTGGTGATAATTGTGGTGAGGGGAGAGGGAGTTCGTCACTCCACTGGAACCATGCTGACGTCACAGTCTTCTGTATAATCAGCCGTCCTCACAGTGCAAGCAATGGTGTGGGGCAGAGAGGCAGCACTTACGTGCTGACAGCGCCCCTAGTGGACAGGAGAATTTCTAGCCAGATCACAACACTGCCTCTGAGCCCTCACTCCCATACAGAGACCGACTCTTTCTCAAGTCCACTGAATTCCAGGGACATTAAGTTTCTCTGCCCTTGAGGATGGCAATAATTCAGATTACTTCTTACTATTGAGAGATTTAGTGGGGCTGGAAATTTGAGTGTGAATGCAGATTGGAAAGACAAAGCTTAATTGGTTTTTTTATTATTTACTTATTTATTTATTGAGGAAGATTAGCCCTGATCTAACATCTGCTGCCAATCCTCCTCTTTTTGCTGAGGAAGACTGGTCCTGAGCTGACATCCGTGCCCATCTTCCTCTTCTCTATATATGGGATGCCTACCACAGCATGGCTTGCCATGTGGTGCCATATCCACACTCAGGATCTGAATGAGCGAACCTGGGGCCAGTGAAGCGGAACGTTCAAACTAAACCGCTGTGCCACCGGGCCAGCCCAAAAGCTTAATTCTGCTTTCTGAAGGGATTTGCTTGCTGTAAATTTCTATTTTATGTGTTTTTATTCAATTAATATATAGTCACTTAGAAAAATCAGGTGAAATATATAAGCAAAAAGGAGAACATTAAAAATCGTCTGTACTCCATAATAGGGAGGTGGCCATTGTCACCACTGAGTATAGAAACATAGTTTCAGGAAGGCAGCATGAGGAAGTGAAGATGCATTGGCTGGAAGTCCGAAATCTGGGTTCTAATTCCAGTTCCCCCGGGATTGCTGATTGTCATACCCCTTAGCTGAAAAGTTGGGGTTGAACTTTCTGTTAAAGTGAAAATAAAAGGACATGAATGTGGTTGCACAGTAGTGAGCATCTTTATCTCCTGTCTCTCTCCCCCTTTTGGTGTATTATCCAAACCCTTGGAGCACACTGCAGAGCTCAGGACTGAGAAGGGGAAACTCTGAGCGACATTTCTGAAGTGAGTCAGGGAGGAGAGAAGCCTAGGGGTTCCTTTGGTTTGGGGTTGCTCTGGGAGAAGCACAGGGTCCATTGCTCCCCTGAGCATCAGCAGGGCCGGGCTGGGAAGCACGTGGCCTGCAGGCCTCAAGAGGAGCTGCGTTCGATCACTCTTAATGTTGCTCCTAGTCCTTCGAGGCTGTGGTCCAAGTGAGGCAGGGGCGGCAGAGCTTCCTCCAGCTCCCGCGCTCCCCCCCAGTTCCTGGCAGCTGCGAGCTGGTTCTCAGTGGCCAGAGGAAGGGAGAGAGAACAGCAGCACTGACCCAACAGCAATGCGAGGTTGAAAGTGGCACGTATGAGGACAAGTAGCCCCACTTACGCTCCCATCTGGGATGCTCGGGCCCCCACCTTGGCCTGGCACCAAAGCCACATGTTGTTCATTAAAGCACAAACACCCTGATCTCAGACTTTGAAGATAGGAATCACCCACCCCAAACCAGACACTGCCCACAAGTAGGCGAGAGGAAGCCGAAGGTGGTGAATGATTAGCAGAACTGGCAAACAGCTCCGGACCCTGTGGACACTGAGTCCTGGAAACCTGTGTCATGAGGAAAGCTTAGTTTGACCGCAGGAGCCCTTGGAGGCCCTTCATGGCCTGGCTGCTCCACTGTGAGGGTCCCCTAGTCCTGCCCCACAACAGCCCCCACTCCCCTGCCCGTTCTCCAGGGGCCCCTGGCACAGCCGCTGCCACTGTCTGGCATGAAATACCAGAGTGAGCAAGAAGGTTTTCAGGAGTTCAGAAAACATGAATTTACTAATTGCTCTGGATTCTACTGAGGGTAGCAGGGTGTATAAAAAATTTTGTGACATAGTTCTTGTCCTCAAAGAGATTACAACTTAGTTGAAGGCACACACCTCTGCACATGCACAAAACACAGACATTAGAGAACTATTTAGACTACCTCTGTTCCATGGAGATTGTCACATGTGTTAAATTTTCTAAAAGCAACATAAAAAAGCCTAAAAAGGTGAAATTACTTTTAATGAGATGGGTAACCATATATTTCCATAATATTTTTCAACAAGTAATTAATCTCAGAATTATCAATGAAGTACTTTGTAATCCTTCTTTCATACTGTCTTCAGACTCCAGCGCATATCTTGCACTTCGAGCACGTCTCAATTCAGACAAGCCATATTCAAGTGCTCAATAGCTCCATGTAGTTATTGGCTGTCTATTGGATTGCATAGATTTAGACAGTATAGAATGACAAGTTGAATGAACTTTTAAGTTTTAGTGAAAAGAGCAGTTCATGGAGAAGGTCGAAGTTTGGTCAGAAATGGCATCTAGAGAGCTACACTATCAACTTGTCAGGCTGTGGGATTTTAGTATGTTGCTTTCCGAAAGCATCTCTTTTGTTTTTCTCCTCAAATCCCCTCAGTACGTAGTTGTATATCTTAGTTGTGGGTCCTTCTAGTTGCACCACAGCGTGACCTAACGAGCGGCGCCATGTCCGTGCCCGGGATCCGAACCAGCAAAACCCTGGCCCGCCGAAGCAGAGCATGCGAACTTAACCACTTGGCCACGGGGCCAGCCCCCAAAAGCCTCTCTTAATTTACCTCCTTTCTGTTTAAAGGCATTATCATCATCATCAAAAAATGATTGTAACTCACCTTGCTGCAAGGCAGGAATGCACTGTAGGAAAAGAGAAAGCCAGAGGTGAGAGCACAAGCAGAACCACACAGGGAGCAGGTCCCTAGAAACTGGGACCAGGTTACAGACAGGCCATCTGTTCATGCACCAAACTTTGATTTTATTTCAAGTAAAGATTACTAAGCCTTAGGGTTTGTCACTGAGTTACCAAAACAAGGCTCCCAAGAGACGGAAAATAAGTCTAATTTCTTAGTGTCAAAGGACATGCATGCTTTATCTCTCCTGGCATACCAGCTCATAATTTTCCTCTGGCATTTTCTATAATGTGAGCTTTTTACCTCATTGCATAACCGTGACTTACGTTTCACAGTTTATATAATTGATATCAGGTACTTTTTGACAATCACATTTCAACAGCTGCAAATTTCTTTTCTTCTGGAAACTTTGGGCAAGGAGGAAGCACGTACTCGCCTTACCTCTGTTGTACTGAGTTCTGCCCTAATACTACACTATGAACTCATACCTGTGGCTGAGGACAGAACTCAAGGACCCTGAGTCTGTTTTTCCATGGATCATTTCTCTTCCAAACGAGAATATGCATCCCCAAATTAGGTGTTACCCTCTGCTGCCTCTTGTTCGGGATTCTTAATTCTGTAATTTGAGAACCCCATTCTAAATTCCAAAATTCCTTGTGGGAGAGACAGCTATCTGACCACTGAATATTCTTGCTCCCCTCCCACAATGTAGTGTTCCTAGGAAATTGCTGCCCCTACAGGGAGCAAATTTCTCAGCCGCACAGTGACTGAGTTTGGGCCAGTGGGATACGTGTGGAAGTGATGTACACCACTTCAAGATGTGGACCATGGAAACCTCCCTCCTATTCCTCACCTCTTCTTTCCATATCTGCTGGCTGAATACAGAGGACTTTGAGGCCCTAGAGGAGGACAAAGTCACAACATGGGAGGAGTCTGGCTTCTGAAAGACCAGGTGAAAGGCTGTCTACTAATTAGGCATGCTGACATTTGACTTTATGAGTGTGACAGAAATAACCTGTTGTGCTGAGCCAATAAGATTGAAGGGTTTATCTGTTTTATATCCGTTAATTAATATACATTGTCTACCAAGCCTCCAAGAGGCCCACTGGAAGCTCATGTAAATTCAACTCCTGGTCATCAACTTTGATGTGACAAACCACCCGGACGGAGGGTTCAATTGATCACTTCCACCCAGCTCCCTCCTCTGCCTTTAGTATCTCCAAGTCTACAGTTCTCATCAGCCCTGTCCACACCACTGTTTCTGGGGCCCTGGAAACTGAACCCACAAAGGCTGCCTTATGATTACAGACACGGAGTGCAAGAGCTTGATGGTCCTGAAGCTTCTCATTCTCATTAGGATCTCTGCTTCATTTTGGATACAATCTTCCAGTAACAGGGCCACATATCTTAATGAGATAGAGTGCTTCTCATCACTGACCAGAGCTCGATGAACCTTTTCCCAAAACTCATACCACCTGTATTAGTTTTCTCTTGCTGCATAACAAATTAACATAAATTTAGGAGCTTATGCAACACAAATTTATTATCTCACAGTTTCCGTGGGTCAGAAATCCAATCTGGGTTAGCTGAGTCCTCTGCTCAGAATCTCACCAAGCTGAAATCACGGTGTCAGCCAGGGCTGTGATTCTCGCCTGAGGCTCAGGGTCCTCTCGCAAGCTCACTGGCTGTTGGCAAAATTCAGCTCCTTGTGGTTCGACGACTGGAGCTCCTAGCTCCAGCAACTAGAGGTTGCTCTCAGTTTCTTGCCATGTGGCTCCCATAGGAGTTCATAGCATGGCTGTTTGCTTTCTTCCTGGCCAACAGGAGTGCATCTCCTTGATGATTCCTCTTCTTGTAAAGATTTCAAAGGTCAGATCCATCCAGAGCAATCTCCCTTTTTCACTAATTCAAACTCAACTAATTAGTAACTAATATGGGAGTGATATTCCATTATATTCAGCAGTCCCACTCACGCTCAAGGGGAGGGGCTTATACAGAGAGTGTACATCGGGGGAGGAACCTTGGGGGCCATCTTAGAGCACTGCTTACCTCACCATCCAATCCTTTTCAATCATTACTATAAGTTGCACTATAATTGTGTCTGTCTTTGTATCTTTCTCATTATCATATTGCTAATCTCTGCGTGGTTCCCTGGAAAATAGTAGCTATTTAGGATTTTCGAATGAAAGAATTAATACTTTGGTCACCTCGATTGAATTTAGAAGATTCTCTTAATTTATTACCAACATGTTAACAAATTAGTCCCTTTTGTTGTGTCTTCACTTTTGTGAAATTCACTTGTAAAAGTTCTTCTCTGGTCATTGTTCCAAATCTGGGGGTGAATTCTGTTTTAGGCTTCTGACTTCCTGTGCAATTGCTCCACTGGTGTTGCAGATAGAGTCCCAATAGGAAATAGATGGCAATCCAAATGGGGACAATTCAAGGAGGGTTTAATAAAAGGACTTCTTACCTAGATGTGCATAGGTTGTAAGGAAACCATAAAGAATAGTTGAGTAACAGTTGGCACTCTTACTACCTCAAGGCCTCGAGGGAAATGGGAGGGGAGAAGTTTGTGGATGTGTAAGGATGGTGTAGTGGGTGGAATGATGGGCCCTAAAGAGATATTTCTAACTCCTAATGCCCAGAACCTGTGAATCTGACCTTATTTGGAGTAACGGTCTTTGCAGATATAATTAAGGATCTTGAGATGAGATCATCCTGGATTTAGAGTGGGATCTAAATCCAATGATAGGTGACCTTAAAAGAGAAAGGCAGAGAGAGATTTGAGACACAGATACACAGAGAAGACAGTATGAAGATGAAGGCAGAGATTAGAGTGATGCATCTACAAGCCAAGGAATGCCGAGGATTTCCAGCAGTCATCAGAAGCTAAGAGAGAAGCAGGGGACAGATTTTCCCTGACAGAGTCCGGAAGGAACCAACACTGTGTACACCTTGATTTTGGACTTCCGGCATCCCGAACTGAGAGAACAAATTTCTGTTGTTTTAAGCCACTAAGATTGTGGTGGCAGCCTGGGAAACTAATACTGATGGTGGCAGGATACTGCCAGCCCGAGGTGACCATAGAGGCAGGTGCTAAGAGAATAAAAACCCTATTCTTACTGTCTTCTCCACCCTCCTGCTGGGGCTTGTCAGTGGCTGAACATTGCCTGAAGCCAGAGGATAAGGGAGCTCAGCGATGTGCTACAGACTAGGGCAGTCTCCTGGGAGAGTGAGCAGCATGGAGGTGAAAGATGGATTTGGAGGGGCAAACTCAAGATATACAGCACAACTCTTTTTAGGTTATAGGTAAGGTAATCATAAATCCCCATCTGTCTGGAGCAGTTTGGTTTTTACCTGTTGTCCCAGGGCAAGAATTAATTTTGCTTCTTTTCCCTCTCAAGCATCTAGGTTTGAATGATAAATTATATGGTCACTTAGCTATAGGTTAAATTCCAGTTGGATCATTATTCAAATGGAGATAGAGTTTGCTGTAGCGTGTGTTGCGTGAGACAAGTCACCGCACTCATCAAGATGCCTTCTCTCCTGATCGCCCTGTGGGCCTGACCATTCTCGACAGGTGTGAAAATTTAACACCTTCTGGAGTTAACAAGAACACGCCCGTCTCCAAAACCTGGCTCATACACTCCGTATTTTCTGCATTTAGCTTTTTTCACCTCATCTTGGAGATCTTTTCATGTTAGGGCATACAGTTCTGCCCTGTCCCTCTAACTCCTTCATAGTACTCCATCATTTATTGAACCATTCCTCTGTTGGTGAACATTTGTTATTTAAACTTCCCTATGGAAACAATGCTTCCGTGACCATTCTTGTACATGCTCTTTGTATAGATGTGTGAATATTTGTAGAATTGATACCGTATTAGAGTTCTTAGCTGGAGACAATAAGAATCCATCTGGCTAGCTTAAGAGAAAGGGATGTATTAAAATAGGTGAATTCGTTCACAGAATCATCAGTGGGGCTGGAGAAAGAGACTCAGTGTTAAGTTTGAAGGACCAATGCCTAGAACTTCACTGTCAAAATGGGCTTAGGTTGCTGCTTCTGGCACTGACCTGAGAACTACAGGGCAAACCAGCTTGAAGATGAGAACAGAGGTTACCATCTTTGCCACCACTTGTTTTGTGGAATAGAAATCCCATGCAGAGCCACTTTCCTTCCATTGCTTGCTTCTGAGTTGACGTCTCAAGTGAAGGTGAGTAATTGGTTCCATGTCTGTGCCCTAGGTAGCTACGGGGGAGGCCAGGAGTTAAAAGTCAAAACCTACCAAGAAGGCAGGCCCAACAGGGTGGAAACTGATTAGAATGTTGGGAGGATATTTCAAAAATGTTGTTAGGCTCATATGACACATGTCCTCTGCAGATCGCAAGAAGTGGAATTATTTGCTTGAAGGATATATGCACTTTAAATTTTGGCACACTCTGCCAAACTGACTGCAAGAAAATATAGACCAATTTACAGTGTCATCTACAGTGCATAATAGTTTCCCTTTCCCTACGTCTTCTCCAGTAATGGATAATACCGTCTCCTTAACACTATTCACAGTTTTTGACAAACTGACAGTGAAAAAAAAGATCCTACCTTATTTAAATCTGCTTTTTCTCAGAATTGGTTAGGTTATCATATTTTTTATGTTTATTAGCCTTCTTCTTCTAAGACAGTCATTTATATCATCTGCCCATTCTTTATATTAATTGCCTTTGTGTTTGTTTATGTTTGAACATCTCTATATATTCTGGGTATTAATTTTTTTTCCTGTTACACATGTTGAAAATATTCTTCACAGAGTCTGTTTTTTTTTCTCTTTTTCTTGTGTCTTTTACTTACATGATATCTAAATAAAATGGGTAATCGTTTCAGAGTTTTTTTTTCTTGCTCAAGAAAGTTTTTCATGTCTTCTGCTGTAAAATATCTTCCTTGATTTCCTTTAAAACATTTTTACAGCCTTGTTGCTCATGTTTGACTTTTCAATCCACGTATAATTTTTTTTTTAAAGCTTCAGTGCATGGTTATATATCCTAGTTGTTAGTTTAGTTCTCTGTGTAACCACTGCCACAGTGTGACAACTGACAGATGGGTGGTGTGGTTCCACAACTGGGAAACGACCCAGCTGCCTCAGCAGTGACAGCCCTGAATCTTAACCACTAGACCTCCAGCGCAGGCTCTATAAATCTTTTTTCATGAGTTCTGTGAGTTAGAAATTAAGTGGATTTTTATTCCCCCAAATGGAGAGCCAGTTATTCCTCACATTAATTGAAGAGTCCATCCTTAATATATATTTAATTCTTACACTACCTATTTCTGTTTCTAGAGTCTCTATTATATTACACTATGTTGATTTATGAACCTATCATACTTGTTCTTTCCAACACCACAGTTTTAATTATCGAATATTTATAAAGTATTATGAAAGCTGATGAAGCAATTTATTCCTCATTTTTACTTCTAGGGAAAAAAAGACCTGCACTCCTCTCTGTATTTCTTTCCCAGATTTTAGAACAGTTTTGCTGAGTTCCGTTAAAATTAAATTCTGTTAAATTGTCATATTGAGAATTTTTTTATTGGGAGTGCATTTAATTTAAGAATGTTTCTGTAAATGCAAGTATGTTACCCAGAAGTTATGTTTTATGAGGGACAGTCATTCCTCAGTATCTGTGGGGGATTGGTTCTAGGACCCCTCAGGGATACCAAAGTTGTCAGATGCTCAAGAGTCTTAGGCTCTTTGTATCTGTGGGTGCATCCACGGATGCTGGAGGGCCGACTGTGTTACACTGGAAGAAATTCATTAATTATCAGAGATTTGCTTAGCAATTTAGAACTTGGGCACAAAAGACTTGTTAAGAGCAATGAGGAAGTGTTTTCTGTGTTTCCTCATCATTTACCATGACTGTATTTAAAAATTGCAATAAAAAAATGCAAGCCCAGAAGAAAAATAATAAGAAAGAGCCTAGGAACTAGGTGTAATAGGAGAAACAAGAGGATTAGAAATACTTAGTCAGAGGAACATGTTGTCCCAGGTTCCACTCTGACCTGTACCCAGAAATGTAAGCCCCAGCCAGGCGTGAGGAGGCCCCTCAGCCTTTCCACACCCCGGTGAGCCTGGGGGTATAGAGAGAGGAAGTGTGACGTGCACATGCTCTTTAGAAGGATGTGGGATAGTGCATTGTTCTACTCATGCGCTCTAGGTCTCTGTGCTGCCCGCTTTCTACCCATTTTATTCTCTGGATCAGTCACTCCAACCCAGACGACAGAAGCAAGGGCTTGACTTTCAGACCTACCAGCTAAAGTTGCTGCCATGTCTCTGACCAGCAGTGAGTCTTTGGACAAATGAACCCTTTGGAGCCTTAGTGATGGAGACTTTCGGAAAGCCAACAGTGTGTACCTTATGTAGATATATTAAACAACGATATACAGAGAAACGATTTTAAACAGGCCAGTGGAGTTTATTTTGCACACAGACCAGGAAGAGAGTGGACCTGCTGCTTAGATGATTCAGACTTTAGACCGTGGATGCCTCCCTGAAGGTTCACGGCGCAGTCAGACGTTACCTTTGGGAGGGACAGGAAGGAAGGCTCTGGAAGCAGAGACTTTATTAAACATCAACCACGTAGAGGACAACGTTTTATTCCTCTGGAACACGCAGAGCAAATTCGGTAACTAGGATGTAACAAATTCTCTGCTCTTAAGGAGCCTATGTTTCAGTTGGTGAGGCAAAACCTCCCCACGAAAGACAATATGAGAAACAGGACAAAGCAGAGTATAACAGCAGCATGGACAAAATAACAGCAGATTTAGAAGAGTTGCTGAAAAGTTCCAGATCAAAGAAGTAGAGGAGAATTTTCTGGAGGAGTATTTCTTGGTGGTAGTAGTGCAAGGAGATTTAATGCTGGGTAGAAAACAGCACTGTGCAGTAAATATGTGACTGGCAATAGCATTTTCTAAATTGTACAGCATGTCCTTTGGCAAAGGCACAAGTTAGGACGTAGTAAATTAAGATGTAGTAAGTTGCTGGTGGGGCTGGCGGTGGTTAAACAAGTAGCTAAGCACCTTGCTTTGGCTGGATTAGAAGTCAGGAATAAAAATGTGACAGCATTTAGTAAAAATCGGTTTATGGAAACTTGAAAAATTTTAATATGAAAGTATTAATTCTCATTTTATGTGCAAAATTTGAAACATGGTAATTTACCCAAGTTTAAAAAATATATATGAGATTCTTATCACTTCAACCAGGTAGGAAAGTGAATTGTACTATATCTGTTTCCACATGGTGGTGTCACTTTCGAAGGCAAACAGAAATACCCACCATCACAATTTTGATTTGTGAGAAGTCTTTATTCTTGGAGTAAAAGACTGGAGAAGCAGCCGTTGGCAGCATGACTGCTGGATTCCACTCTTTTTCCTTTTATTGCATTCTCTCCCACCAGGGCTTTTCATGCACACTTACCTATTCCCCTGGTCCCCTACCACCACCCCCCCGCAAACCCCATCAGTGTCCCTTTCTCAGGCCTCTCTCTCCTCATCTCCTCAGCGATTAGAGGTTCCAGGGACAGGAGATGTACCAGCAGATGGGGAGACCACCTGCTCTCCTTCATGGCCGTTACCTTCTCTGGGGACCAGAGAGGGTACAATGGCCGTGTCTGGGAGAACCCACAACGAGGAAGATGGAGTGGACCATGTGCCAGGCATCTAGGTTCTGTCTCAGGGCGAACTCTTTGAAAGGAGAAGAGCCTGTTCTTCTTTCTCTGCCTGCTCCCCTTCCTGCAGCAATTTGTAGAGGGATCCTACAGTGCTCGTGGCATATGGAGCTTCTTTAGTCACCATGAGCTTCAAGTTGGGACTGTGACAATGATGCCAAAAGAAAGAGACACCATAGATTCCCAACAGGCACAAAGCATTGATCATCAAATGCCAGCAGAAGAAAGTGGTGATAAACATGATGTCGCTGATGTCATCGTCCTGCCATGGGTAGCCCGTGACAGGTCTGTACAGAATGAAGGCTGCCTGTATCAGCCAGGAGCCCATCAGGAGAAAGAGGAAGGTCTCGATCATCAGGAGGTAAGATGTGTCGGGAGCCCAGAGCTCTACAGTCAACACCAGCATCAGCAGAAAGACCACCAAGATGAGCAGAGAATGAATCTGCAGCTCCACCCCTGATGAGTCCTGAACATGTGACACCAGCAGCAGCAGAAGCACGTAGAAGGTCAGGACCAGGGTACCTTTTTCTAGGAGTACACATCTCTGAGGCAGCAAGTTCTTGCTCGTGACATCTACACAGCCATTGAGGCTGAGGAGGATGAACATGGTGAGGTGCTGCCACTGTTTGGGGTACATAAATCTCGGTGGCAGCTCCCTGTTCATCAGCTTCAACCCTCCTGTGACACAGCTGATCTCATAAGCTATCAAGAGGGAGCCAGTCACCATCTTCAACAAACCTCTATAGGATAGTTTCCACAGCCTGGCCCATCTTCCCTTATTCCTGAGAGGGCATGAAGAATACAGGAGAGAGTCATTGAATATCGCAGCTTTGGAGACCACTATTGCCTGATACAGTCCATAGAAGACTAGAAACAGCCCTGGGTACAAATGACCAGCAAAGGTTCCCATTGAACTACAGATCTTGCTAACGTAGGACAGAAGACAAAGCTCGGACACGTCCACACCTTCTGGAGCCACTTCAAGTTCTGGGCTCTGGAAAGAATTGTCTTCCACCAACTTTTATCATCTTACCCCACCCACTGCTCCCCCACAGACAGGAAATGTCTCTTGAAACAAGCCTACGCCTTTGATGGCCTAAAGCCTCACTGTTCCATTCCATTCTGGTACATTGGAAACTAACTGGCTTCTGCCAAAGAAGAAAACTGGTGCATGTGCTTGCAGGGGCTCCCCTCTATGGCCCTTGAGGTGCTCTGATCACACTTGTCCCTTTCTCCCGTGGCTTCCTTCCCCTTGTGCTGCCCAGCACTCAGAGAAGAAGGGGAGGTGAGCATGAGATGGGGGTAGGGGTTGTCATGGTGTCCAGAGGAAACCTGGATACTTACAAACCCTTGAGTATCCTTCAGTACTTCTCAGACATAACTTTGGTCCACTTGTAAGTTTTTCTTTTTGGACACATATATTTATAAACATTTGGCTATGTGACCATGTAATTCATACTTCCTGCCTATCTGACGTCTGTTCTTCTCTTACAGACACATTCTGAAGATCACCAAGAAAGCTCCCTTCACCTCTTCCTTTTACCTCTTCACATCCCCACTCCCCTCCCTCCACTTCAACATCTCTACTGGCCAGTAAATGGATGTGAAATTTACCCTTTGATATTGATTTTAGGGACTGTGGTGGTATCGTAGTATGTCAACCTAACTAAGCTTGAGCCACATTTCCCAGAATTTGCTTCCCTGTGTGGCTCCAGGTTAGGTTGGCTACCAGAGAAATTTACTTGAGCATCTGAAGGTGGAAGTCAAGCAGCAAGCTAAGCATTCTCTGAGGGTGTAGGGTGCCAGGTGCCACTGTAGCTGTCGCATCCCGTCACTGAGCTGCTGGCTCACTTCCTTGGTGAGGCCTACAGCTCCCTCAGCTTCTCTTAGTGTGAAGGGTACCAGTTGCTTCTGCAGGTCACCTGCCACTGAAGTATGAGGTGGTGAGAGGCAGACACGGGCTCCAGTTGGTCCTCATGGCTTTCAGTATGTCCTTGCTCTTCCCTCACTTCCTGCCTGCTGATCTGAGGCCCCTTCTACCAGCAGAAGAGGGAACCAAGCCTTTCACAGACTTCTTTCACTACAAAATGTGTTAAAGTTCTGATAAGCCATATAGAAAAACCATATTTCCGTATCACTCTGCTCTCCATGATACCATCTCTCAGCAATGCACAGGGAGTTAAGGTGTAATCCTTCACATTCAGATACTGTTGAGAGGAGTGTCTCCAGTGAACTGGTGTTGGCCATGAGAATTAGCCCATCAGATTCATCTATCTATCACTTAACTACCGTCTAATGTACCCTCAGAAGACAGTGTCCTGGGTATTGGGTAGCAGCCAGCAGAGTACAAGGCAGAGAGGAAGGTGGAGAACAAGGTACAGGGAGTGGGAGGCATGCCTGGGGCCCACAAATGCTTCTGGGTTTATTGCAGGAGCTACATGGACTGGGAGTTTCTCTGTTGGTGATAATTGTGGTGAGGGGAGAGGGAGTTCGTCACTCCACTGGAACCATGCTGACGTCACAGTCTTCTGCATAATCAGCCGTCCTCACAGTGCAAGCAATGGTGTGGGGCAGAGAGGCAGCACTTACGTGCTGACAGCGCCCCTAGTGGACAGGAGAATTTCTAGCCAGATCACAACACTGCCTCTGAGCCCTCACTCCCATACAGAGACCGACTCTTTCTCAAGTCCACTGAACTCCAGGGACATTAAATTTCTCTGCCCTTGAGGGTGACAATAATTCAGATTACTTCTTACTATTGAGAGATTTAGTGGGGCTGGAGATTTGAGTGTGAACGCAGATTGCAAAGACAAAGCTTAAGTCTGCAGGAATTTGCTTATTTTCAGTTTTAATTTTAGGTGTTTTTATTCAATTAATGTATAGTCCTTGTAGAAAAACCAAGTGAAACATATAAGCAAAAAGGAGAACATTAAAAATCATCTGTAATTCCATAATCGAGAGGTGGCCATTATCACCACTGAGGTATAGAAACATAGATTCAGGAAGGCAGCATGAGGAAGTGGAGACGCATTGGCTGGGAGTCAGAAATCTGGGTTCTAATTCCAGTTCCCCCGGGATTGCTGATTGTCATACCCCTTAGCTGAAAAGTTGGGGTTGAACTTTCTGTTAAAGTGAAAATAAAAGGACGTGAATGTGGTTGCACAGTAGTGAGCATCTTTATCTCCTGTCTCTCTCCCTTTTGGTGTATTATCCAAACCCTTGGAGCGCACTACAGAGCTCAGGACTGAGAAGGGGAAACTCTGAGCGACATTTCTGAAGTGAGTCAGGGAGGAGAGAAGCCTAGGGGTTCCTTTGGTTTGGGGTTGCTCTGGGAGACGCACAGGGTCCATTGCTCCCCTGAGCATCAGCAGGGCCGGGCTGGGAAGCACGTGGCCTGCAGGCCTCAAGAGGAGCTGCGTTCAATCACTCTTAATGTTGCTCCTAGTCCTTCGAGGCTGTGGTCCAAGTGAGGCAGGGGCGGCAGAGCTTCCTCCAGCTCCCGCGCTCCCCCCCCAGTTCCTGGCAGCTGCGAGCTGGTTCTCAGTGGCCAGAGGAAGGGAGAGAGAACAGCAGCACTGACCCAACAGCAATGCGAGGTTGAAAGTGGCACGTATGAGGACAAGTAGCCCCACTTACGCTCCCATCTGGGATGCTCGGGCCCCCACCTTGGCCAGGCACCAAAGCCATGTGTTGTTCATTAAAGCACAAACACCCTGATCTCAGACTTTGAAGATAGGAATCACCCACCCCAAACCAGACACTGCCCACAAGTAGGCGAGAGAAAGCCGAAGGTGGTGAATGATTAGCAGAACTGGCAAACAGCTCCGGAGCCTGTGGACACCGAGTCCTGGAAACCTGTGTCATGAGGAAAGCTTAGTTTGACCGCGGGAGCCCTTGGAGGCCCTTCATGGCCTGGCTGCTCCACTGTGAGGGTCCCCTAGTCCTGCCCCACAACAGCCCCCACTCCCCTGCCCGTTCTCCAGGGGCCCGTGGCACAGCCACTGCCACTTGTCTGGCATGAAATACCAGAGTGAGCAAGAATGTTTTCAGGAGTTCAGGAAACCCGAATTTAGTAACTGCTCTAGATTTTACTGACTATGGCAGGGTGTATAAAAATGTATATGACATAGTTCTTGTCCTCAAAGAGCACTTCCTATCTCTGCCTGCAGGTTTCCTGGAGTGTGGACAGGCTGATGGGCCTCTGCACGCCTGGCTGAGGCTTACATTTCTGGGTACAGGTCAGAGTGGAGCCTGGGATAACTGCACACCTCCTTCCTTCAAGCTGGGACTGTGATAAGGATACCAAAAGGAAGAGACGCCATAGATTCCCAACAGGCACAAAGCATTGATTGTCACATGCCAGCAGAAGGAGGTGGTGATGAACATGATGTCACTGAAGTCATCGTCCTGCCATGGGTAGCTCATGAAAGGTCTGTACAGAATGAAGGCTGCCTGTGTCAGCCAGGAGCCCATCAGGAGAAACAGCAAGGTCTCAATCAGCAAGAGGTGAAATGTGTCGGGTGCCCACAACTCTACGGTCAACACCCTTTCAGCAGGAAGACCACCAAGATAAGCAGGGAATGAATCTTCAGCTCTACCCCTGACGAGTCCTGAACATGTGACACCAGCAGCAGCAGGAGCACGTAGAAGGTCAGGACCAGGGTACCTTTTTCTAGGAGTACACATCTCTGAGGCAGCGAGTTCTTGCCCATGACATCTACTCAGCTGTTGAGGGTGAGGAGGATGAACATGATGTGGTACTGCCACTGTTTGAGGTACATGTATCTTGGCAGCAGCCCCTTGTTCATCAACACCATCCCATCATCCAGACAGGGGACCACACAAACCATTAAGATGGACTAGTCACCATCTTCAACAAACCCCCATAGGATATTTTCCACAGCCTGGCCCATCTTCCCTTATTCCTGGGAGGGCATGAAGGATACAGGAGAGAGTCATTGACTGTTGGGGCCTTAAAGAACAATGTTGCCTGATACAGTCTATAACAGAAAAGATATAGCCCTGGGTGAAAATGACCACTGATCTTTCCCATGAATTTATAGGTCTGGTTGATTAAGGAGTGAAGAACAGAAGTTAGGCCCTTTCTGCCCTCCTCCCCCTTAGGGCCTCTCAAGTTTTTGACTGCGTAGACAGAGCTAACTTGTACCTACTTTTATCATCTCCCTCTGCCCACCACTCCCAGACAGACTGGAAAGTTCTGGACAGAAGCCTACACTTTCGGCGAGGTAGGGCTCATTCTTCCATTCCATTCTGATACACTGAGAACTAATTGACTTCTGCCAACAAAGGAGGATGAATATTTCCTAATATGCGTTTGTGAGAATGTGTGCTTTCGTGAGCTCTATGTCTGGGCCCTTGAGATGTGTCTGGACACACTTCTGCTCTCTCCCGTGGCTTGCTTTCTTCTTCCCCTGTCCCGTGCTTAGAGGAGCAGAGGAGAGGGGAATAAACGTGGAGACCGCCCAGAAAAGGCCTAGGCTACTCACAAACATTTGCACATCTTTTAAAACTCCTTACTCATATCTCTGGTCATAAATTGAAAGCAAATATATTCTTCCCGAACATAAAAGTTTATCAACATTTGGGAGTATGCTCACATGTATACATATTGAGCACCTACCTGACCTCTTTATTTTTCTGTAACAGATAGATTTGGGGAACCACCAAGAGAGCCCCTCACCTGCCTCCAATTCTCTCTCCAATGAATAGTAGATGAACCTGAAAAGCTCCCTTTTGAGATCAATTGTAGGGTGTTAAGGGGTAATTTCTTAATAAAATGCAGATATTTTGAGACGAGTAGATTCAGAGAGTTACTTATATTAAGTGAGTTAGCTCGTTAACTTTGTTCTCTCTTTAATTATCATTTGCTAAGTTATGTTGTTATGCCCT